GAAACAAAAGCGAGTCAATACAGTCAATACAGTTGATGAAGGATTTCATTTGATAACCTTCTCATTAAATCAACAAATTTTTAATTTCTCGTCAAATGATTCCTCTATTTTGTCGCCACTTCTTATCATTTATTTATGTTTATGTTTATAAATGTAAGAAAAAAATGTTTTATTTATTTTAAATGCCATTAATGTGCGAATAATTAATATTTATTATTGATGTTTATAATGAGAGTGAAGTTTGCGCTAAAAAAATGGGAGCAAATATTAAATCAATTGTTTCTTATATTAGGCATTGATTGTATGTTAAATTGACGTTTTATTAGGCATTTATTAATTCAATAATGAAAATCCGGTCTTTTTGTGGCTTATTCTCTATATTTTGAATTTTATAATATAAAACAATTTCATAAAAGAATTGTTTTTTTTGTATTTGCTTTTTAGTTCAAATACCGTATTATAATTCACTATTAAATGCATTGTTTGGACACTAAATGCTAACGGAATATAAAATGCAATGAAAGACAAAAATGAAAACAGCATTTAATTGTCAAAACGGAAAGTTCACTGAAAGTGAAAGGGATTTACAATATGTGGTAATAAATGTGGGGAAACCTCTTTCAATATATGGTTATATGTGTCTCATATTAATGTTATTCAACAACAATTAACACAATAAAACACACATTCATATCATCTGTTGATTTTGAAAGTCTAGAAACTCTATTAAATTAGAACTCATTTCAAAAAATAATTTATAAAACTCTCACAACTTTTCCAGTGTTTGTTTCGATTAAAATTATAAAATAAATTATTTTCAATTTATGTTTTAATTAATTAATGTTTTTTTCACTCGGTTTAAAAATATTAGTTAAATTAAATTATAGTTTCTTTGAATAACATGTGTTATACTGTTTGTGTGTTCAAAAAATATGGAAAATTTCTTACGTGATTAATTTAATATTTATGAAATTAGTTTCATTGGATATGAAAAATAGTTTTTAACATTGGATTCACGAATATAAATAGAGAGCGAGAATTAATTTCTAATGTTTTAATTATATATTAATTATAAAACTATTCATTTATTTATATTTACATCCAATGATGAGATAAGCAACTCATGTGCTTTCGATAGGGAGAGAGAGTGAGAGCGAAGAGAAACCGAGTTTTATATATAATAATCTAATAGTCGTTATAAATATTGATATCTAATTATTTGACGCAATTTTTTGGTCTCCAAATCCTTGAATGATTAGTCTATAAATACTTTGGGAAAACACTCTTTCACTGGAAAAATAGTCAAACCATTGAAACAATTCATTTCATTTCATTTTGAAACGAGTGGTGATTTTGTGGGTATTTTGTGATAATGAAACTGTTGCTGATTTCCAGTTCGGTTGCGTTGATATTATTTATAAACCAATTTTACTCATCCAATGGTATGTCTGAATGGCATTATTGAAGTCATTATAATGTGTGAAAAATTGATGTCACTTTTTCTCTAACCTAAATAATTAGTTTTTACTTTTTATGTGTGCTTTACTTTTATTTTGCTTTGTTTTATCTATTGTTAACCCAAATATAATACACATTATTTGTAACAGAAAAACAAAAATTTAATAAAAGTCCACAAATTTCTTATAGCAAATACCCGACGGGAGTGCGCGGCCCGGGATTATGGGAACGGCGCCACTGTTTGCGTTTGCAATCAAAGCTATTGCGATGACTTGAGGCCAATCGCCAGAACTGGCGCCGGAATCGTCACCCTTTACGAGACGTCTAAAAGTGGCGATCGATTCGCTGAGTCGGAGCTCACGTTTCAGACATCGGTGGCCAACAGCACCAAAACGGTGTCCATTGAACTCAACCCAAATGTATTGTACCAAAAGATTATTGGCTTTGGCGGCGCCTTCACAGACAGCGCCGGACTTAATATACAGACTCTGTCGCCGGAAATGCAACGCCGAGTGATCGGCGATTACTTCTCCTCCAAAGGCATTGAATACAGTTTGGGTCGCATTCCTATCGGTGGCAGTGATTTCTCGACCCATCCCTACACTTACGACGACGTGAACGGAGACTTCACTTTAGATCACTTCGCACTCACTGTCGAAGATCTCGACTTCAAAGTCAGTTCCCATTTATTACTAGAAAAATATTTTTAAAAATTAACTATTTATGCACTTATTTTGAACTAAAAAATTAGTATTTATTTGATAAGTAGTTTTTATTATCATCTAATTTATTGTTTGTATGATTTAAAAATCACTGCCATTTTTCGTTATATTTATTTATTTAATTATGAATTATATGTTCCGAAAAGCAAAGATTTTTATTGATTACTCCAATAGATTCCGTACATTAAAATGGCTCAAGAAATGAGTGCAAATGAAATCAAATTATACGGCAGTCCCTGGAGTTCCCCGGCGTGGATGAAGACCAACAAAAAGCTAAACAATGGGGGCTTTCTTATAGGAGAGCCCGGAAACAAATACTATCAGACATTTGCTAATTATTTTGTTAAGTAAGTAATTAGCAAATTGTAAACAAAAATATATATTCAATAATTTTCTTTAATATATAACTATAAATACCAAAAGCGTTTTGTCGCCAATTAGTCCGAGACATAAGCAAAAAAGTTATTCAATTATCTCTCTATACCTTTGACTATGAATTCAGTAATCAGTCGTAAAAAACACGGTAATTATGTTAACGTAATTATAGTTTAATAATTGAATTAAACACATGACTGATATTTTTCACATGACTTCACTTTTTAAAACAACTTTTTTTGAGGAAATGAAGGAAATGTGTTTAAATTTTCTTTTTAAATCTTTCGCTAAGATTATAATTTTGTAAATTATGGCGATTTTAATCACTAAATCCTAATGTTTTTAACGATTAAATACAGATTTCTGGACGCCTATAGCAAACGGAATATAACTCTATGGGGAATAACGATAGAGAATGAGCCGAACGCCGGCTATAATAGCAAATACTTGTGGAATAGTTTGGGATTCAGTCCAGAATTACAGCGAGATTTTATAAAACAAGATTTGGGACCAATTCTGGCCGACGCCGGGTATGGTGTGGACAAACTCAAAGTGATCATCAATGATGACCAGCGGCCGACTGTCAGCCAATGGGCGCGAGTGATACTATCGGACCCGAAAGCGGCCCAATACGTGGCCGGCAGTGCCTTTCATTGGTACGAAAGCACACCGGAAAATATCGATCAATTAGATATGGCTCACAACGAGTTTCCCGACTATTTTCTCTTGGCTTCCGAGGCCTGCGAAGAGTGGAAGGGACGGGAGGTTAAGGTCTCTCTGGGAGATTGGCATACATTTGACAGATACGCTCACGACATAATCACTGTTAGTTATTTACCAAATTATTTATTTATTGTTTGTTTTTTGTTGATTTCTTTTAGCTTTCTTTTATTGTTCAACAATTCTGTTGTTATTTTAAGTGAAATTTATTTTATTTGTTTATTTATTTAATAAGCACTTAATAGGTGTATACTTGACATCAATAGTATTTTTCTCATTTCACGAAACGTAACGATTAATTAGCAGTTTATTTATTTATATTTATTTATCAAAATTCAGTCGTTGGCATGACTTTTGCTTTTTATAGCAAAGAATTTGAGTTAGAAATTGAGTTTAAATTGAGTTTAATTTTAGTTTACATTATAGTTGCGAAATGATTGATACATTAATTTATTATAGGATCTCAATCATTGGACGGCCGGTTGGACGGACTGGAATCTGGCCCTCGACCTACAGGGCGGTCCCAATTGGGTCGGAAACTTTGTGGACGCGCCCATCATTATAAACAAGACAAGCAATGAGTACTACAAACAGCCATTTTTCTACGCCCTTGGTCATTTCAGCAAATTCTTGTCACCCGATTCTGTGCGCATTGGAGTGAAGCAATACAATAGTGTGGAGGGTCTGGAGGTGACCGGCTTTCGTCGCGCCGACAACTCCACAGTCCTTATAGTCTACAATAGAAACGATGAACCGATAGACCTGTCTGTGAATGACATCAATTGCGGGTCATTTAAAAGTCATATAAAAGCAAATTCATTGCAATCCTATATATGGTT